ACTGTATGTACAGTTAGGGAGATATTGGCAAAATTTCACCTGTAGTAAGTCAGTCTTGTAACTACAAATGTACTACAACTTTTGGAGCATGAAAAAAAAACTTTGGTGAATTATAGTAATTTTTTTAAAGAAAATAGTTGTGTACTGTACATACAGTAAGGGAGATATTGTCTATGGCGACATATTGGTTAAATATGTTCGGTCAGTTTGCCCACAAGACATTTACTATGGCGTTGTAAACATAATTTGTATTAATTACTGGACTTCGTTTTGTACTGAGAGGTAAATTTGCAGACGGTTCCTAAAGCAGCCTAGGCGAATATCCAGCGAATATCAAACCTAAAACTAACTTTACTGTGCTTAAAGGGGTCATATGATGTTGATAAAAAAAACAATATTTTGTGTATTTGGTGTAATGAAATGTGTTTATGCGGTTTAAGGTTAAAAAATTGCGGGTCTTGTCTTTTTCTTGCAGGACCCTGTATGTTATAGTATAAAATTAGTTTTAATCGTTTAATCACCACCACAGCTTCTTGTCTCCATTGGCAACACGCACGTTTTGTGTCGATTGCAAGTGAAGTCGCAGGTATCGGAGAGTGCAAGTGGCGATTGCAAGTGACTTCGTAATTTAGTTTCTTTTGTCTTGTCTTCACCACCTGGCTACTGTTGTAAAATGTTGAGAGATTCAAACAAAAAGAATAAATAAATAGTGTCTGAGAGTGCAAGTCTGAGAATGCAAGTCTGAGAGTGCAAGCGCAAGTCTGCAGCCAGACCCTTTTGCCCTGCTTCGCGTCAGTTGCGAAAGGAAGTTGCGTGACGTCATGTGAAAAGGGCCTATTGAGAGTAAGGATGAGTTCTAGGTTTAATTTCAGATATAGATAAAACAAATGTGGCAGAATTACAAAACAAATTAACATATATAAGAACAAGGCTGAAGGAACCTTTATAAGGTCTAGGAAAAGATGGCTGGAGGAAGGTGAACAGAATACCTCCTACTTCTTTAGACTAGAAAAAAACCAGGCTACATTAAATAATATTCATCAGTTAAAAATGAATGATAAAATATCAAAGGACCTTAAAGAGATTTCAGAGTTTTGCTCCACCTTTTACCGTAAACTATATGCGTCACAATATGATGCTAAAGCCTCAAATGATTTCTTCAATTTGTTGGGAGAGATTAAAAAAATTAATAATTTAGATAAAGCTATGTGTGACCAACCTATTAGTTTAGAAGAAATAACCAATTCAATTAATAACTTAAAAAATAATAAGTCTCCCGGAACTGACGGTCTAACCTCAGAATTTTATAAGTTATTTGATGAGCAGCAAGCCCCTTTTTTTCTTTTAGTTTTTTGTGAAAGTTTATCTAAGTCCAGCCTCCCCTCTACCATGACTCAGGGGTTAATTACCCTTATTCCTAAGCCTAAAAAAGATTAGACTATTATTGATAATTGGCAACCAATTAGTCTTTTGAATAATGATTATAAATTAATTGCCTCTATATTTGCTAAAAGAATTAAGAATGTATTAGAATATATTATAGATGAAACTCAGTCAGGCTTTATGAAAAACAGGCATATTTCGAATAATATAAGGTTGATTTTATATATATTAGATTATTCATATTTAATTGATGAAAATAGTTTTATTTTATTCTTAGATTTTCGTAAAACTTTTGACACTGTGGAACATAATTTTTTATTTTCTTCTTTAAAGTGGTCATATGATGCGATTTCAATTTTTCCTTTCTCTTTGGAGCGTTACAAGCTCTTGGTGCCCCGGCCGCTGCTTCGTCGAATCCGCCGGGCGCCGCTCACTCAAGCCGCTGTGTGTTTCGTTGTGAAAGCGAAACTACTTTGTTTGGCCTTCCAAAAGAGGACATAATGTTTCTATAAAGTGGGGCAGTTCCAACTTTGCAAGGACAGTCTGGCGCTTCTGACTCACAGCCTGTAAGTACGTTTTTTATATTTAAAGAATTTGCCACTGACGATTCAAACGCGAGTTTGAGCAGTGTAGAGTAGCGCTTGTTGTTTGTCATTTCTCCGATCACAAATGCAGACATGGTTTTATGTTTACGCGGCGCAATACGCAACGCAACGCGTAAAAACACAGTATAAGTCATTATAATCAGTAATTATGTCCCCACTGGATGCAACAAATACCTGGTTTGTAATGTGTTTTATTGGTTTTGTCTCATCGCGCCGGGACACATGGAAACACAATATATTATAGATGAAACTCAGTCAGGCTTTATGAAAAACAGGCATATTTCGAATAATATAAGGTTGGTTTTAGATATATTAGATTATTCATATTTAATTGATGAAAAAAGTTTTATTTTATTCTTAGATTTTTGTAAAGCTTTTGACACTGTAGAACATAATTTTTTATTTTCTTCTTTAAAGGTTTTTGGGTTTGGTGAATTCTTTTGTGCAGCAGTTGAAACCCTGTATAAGAACGCACATTGCTCAATCAAACTCAAACATGGAACTACCTCTAGATTTGATTTCAAAAGAGGTATTAGACAGGGTTGTCCTATCTCTCCGTATCTTTTCCTGCTTGTAACCCAATTATTATCTGTGCATGTTAAAAAAAAGTATTCTTAAGGGTGTCTCAATTGCAAATAGAGAAATTATTCTAAGTCAGTTAGCCGATGATACAACCCTTGTTTTGAAAAATAGTGGCCAAATTACAATTGCAGTTAATCTTATCAATACATTTTCTAGTGCCTCTGGTCTCAATATTAGTAAGTGTGAACTAATGGCTGTTAAAGACTGTGATTTAATAGATATTTGTAACATTCCTGTTAAAGATAGTGTTACATACTTAGGAATCATTATTGTTAAAGACCAGCTGAAAAGATGTTCTCTCAATTTTAACCCCATAATTGATTCAATTCAATTCAATTCAAGTTTATTTGTACAGCGCTTTTCACGATACAAATCATTGCAAAGCAACTTTACAGCAAATTAAGTTTCTACAATATATTTAGTAGTAGCTAATCAGTGGTGACTGTCAGTCAATGTACATACATATAAGATGCTATTTGATTTCCTATGGAGAAATCGAACACACTATGTTAAAAAGACTGTGATTATGAATACATATGAAAACGGTGGCCTTAATTTCTTAGATTTCACCACTATGAACCACACCTTTAAGATTAATTGGATTAAGGATCACTTAAAAAACCCCACTCCTGTCTGGAATTTTATCCCTCATTATGTTTTTTTCAAATATTGGTGGTCTTAGTTTTGTTTGATGTGTAATTATAATATAGATAAAATTCCAGCTAACTTATCTGCCTTCCACAAACAAGTGCTCCTATCTTGGTCATTAATATATAAGCATAATTTTTCACCGCATCGCTATTTCATCTGGAATAATAGAAACATTCTTTACAAGCATAAATCTCTTTTTTTTAAGAACTGGTTTGACAACGATATTAAATTGGTTAGTCAGTTATATAATAAAGAAGGAACACTCCTTTCTTATGATGAATTCCTTTCTTATTGTAAAACGCCAGTTACTCAAAAAGAATTTGTAATTGTTATTGGTTCAATCCCTTCAGGTACTCGCATGCTATTTAAAGGTATTGATATAGACCATTCTCCCGATTCAGTGTCTTTTGATGTTAGTAAATCTTATATTGGTAAAATTTGTTTTTCATTAAATCCCAAAAATAATAATAGAGTTATCTGCCTTCCACAAACAAGTGCTCCTATCTTGGTCATTAATATATAAGCATCATTTTTCTCCGCATCGCTATTTCATCTGGAATAATTGAAACATTCTTTACAAACATAAATCTCTTTTTTTTAAGAACTGGTTTGACAACGATATTAAATTGGTTAGCCAGTTATATAATAAAGAAGGAACACTCTTTTCTTATGATGCATTCCTTTCTTATTGTAAAATGCCACTTACTCAAAAATAATTTGCAATTGTTATTGGTTCAATCCCTTCAGGTACTCACATGCTATTTAAAGGTATTGATATAGTCCATTCTCCCGATTCAGTGTCTTTTGATGTTAGTAAATCTTATTTTGGTAAAATTAGTTTTTCATTAAATCCCAAAAATAATAATAGAGTTAATAATAGAGAAATTGTTACTGTACCTTATGTTTTGTCTCATTGGGTCTCTTTATTGAACGGAAAATTTATTTGCTGGAGAAAAGTGTGGTTGTTACCACAGAAATATCATCCTAGAAATAAGATTAAAGAAGTTTCTTATAAGCGTATTCATAGATTTTATCCAGCAAATCATTATTTACAAAAATTTTAAAAAGGAATAAATGTAAATTGTATTTTTTGTAATGAGTATGAGGAAACTGCCTTGCACTTATTTTGGTA